TTACATGTTTCTATCTTTAAAAATTAGACTATCTGATAATTTATATCTTTCAAAAACCTATTCATATTATCATGACAGTTTGGAGTACATATGTACTATGATTACTGATGCACCTGTATATATATTTAGGTTATATTTTGTGCTTCTTTTTGTACTCTTTCTGAGTCTGAGTTTGCTTCTCTTCCTTCCCTATCTTTCTTTGCTTTATTTTGTTAAATTTCACTGAGGTTTTTTTTCCTTCTTATCTCATTGTTTCTTCGTTAGGTTTGGACTAGGTCAACATACACTATTTTTATTCTTTTTTAATTTTCCTTTTAACTCAATGAAGTCTCATGTTAATCCATGTGTTTATGCTCCTCCAGAAGATTGTATTGATTATAATGTTGTAATTCTGTTTCTCCTACCTAGAACAGCAGAATTAAAATGTTTTCCAATATCTTTGCTCTATGTTTTCCTTGTTGTTGTCACTTTGCCTTCATATATTCACCATCATCAGTGGTACCTTTTTTATGCTGTCAATATTTGTTGAGATGTATTTTTGCATTTTTACCATTTTCTTGCCTCACCATTTACTTTTGCATGTCAGACTTTCCTTCTGGGTTTATTTTTCTTCTTCCTGGATTGCATAATTTTCAAATTTCTATTTGTGATCAACACTGTCTTAATTTGTCTATAAATGTCATTTCCCTATTTCTTGAAGGATACTTTACAGGATATAAAATTTTAGGTTAAGAGTCATTTTTTTGTCCAAACACTTTGAATATTTTATTCCACCATATTCTTCCTTCTATTTGGGGGCTAGGTCTATTGTTTCAGGATGTTTTTTAGATCTTTTCTTTATTTTAGGAGTTCTGCAGTTTCACTATATTTCAATTTAACTCTAGATTCCTCATTTTTTTCTGCTTAGAATTTGTTGTGCTTCAGTAATCTAAGGATTCATGACTTATCAATTTTGGGGAAAAAAATTAATCACTATTGCTTTTAACTTTTTTTCTCCTTTATCACATTTTGGAGGTCTAATCAGATGTACACTAGAGCTTCTGACCCTCCATACCACTTAGCTTCTTATAATTTTATATTTTTAAAAATAATTTCATCCTTCTATGTGAATTTTGGATAATTTCTTCAGGGATATATTCCAAGTCACTAATTCCCTCTTCAGCTATTGAAAACATATATTGTGGTTTGTTTCTAGAAGTTTTACTTAGTATTTTACCCCCAATTCTCTTAATTGTAAACAATCCTTGCTTCTTATTCATTTTTAGAGTCTGCTTTATTTTTTCATATAGCAAATATACTTATTTTATCATTTGTGTCTAATAATGCCAGTATCTATGGTCTGATTCTGCTATTGTTATGCTTGTTGACTTTTTGCATGCTATCTTATTTTAATTATTTTTAATTAAATTAAGCTCATTTTAATTGACCAGGAATTTTTCCTGAGTTGGAGAATATATTAGCTCTCCAGAACCAGTAAAAAATATATGTTATGTATGAATGTGTATGCGTATGTGAGCTTATTATTATAGGATTTAGCTCACCAGATTAGGAAGGACAAGTCTTATGACATGCTGTTTGCAACCTGGAAAACCAGTGGCATAATTTAGTCCATGTCCTAAGGTCTAAGAATCAGGAACATTGATGCTGGTAGGCAGAAGATGGATGCCCCAGGTTGGGCAGAGAGAGCAAACTGGCCCTTGCTCTGTCTTTTTTATTTTAAGCCCTCAAAGAAGTGAATGATGCCCACCAGCACTGCTGAGGACAGATCTTTACTTAATCTATGATTTAAATGCTAATCTCTTCCAGAAACGTCCTCACCAAGGTGTTATTGCACCAAGCAGTAGTATTTTATCAGTTACCTGGGAATCCTTTAGCCTAGTCAAGTTGACGCATAAAATTATTCATCACAAGTGGCATTCCACTAGAGAGGCTAGCTTCTGCCATTTGCCTGGGGCATTACCTATCTGGGATGACTTTTGATTAAATTCTTGACTTGATGTTTCTCTGACTGCAAAGTTGGTGGGAGTTAGGGTTCAAAACTTGAATTCTCATAAGTGGGCTTGCTGGTACTTGTAAATTCTCAGGAGAGCATTAGTTCCCTTCAATTAAGCAACCCTGAATATTCATTGGAAGGAATGATGCTGAAGCTGAAGTTCCAATAGTTTGGCCACATGATGCGAAGAACTGACTCATTGGAAAAGACTCATGCTGGGGAAGATTGAGAGAGAGAGAAGGGGATGGCAGAGGATGAGATGATTGGATGGCATCACTGACTCAATGGACATGAATTTGAGCAAACTCTGGGAGATAGTGAAGGACAGGAAGCCTGATGTGCTGCAGTCCATGGGGTTGCAAAGAGCCAGACACGACCTAGGGACTATGCACAGAGCATTTTTAACATAGAAAAATATTGTTTTGTTTTATAGTATATGGCTACTCCCCTTGGTTGATAATTCTGATTTCTACTTGTACTCATGGAAGATGTGGTAAAGGAGGCTTAACTTCAGTGGTTGGATGCAGTGGTTCAATGATATCATTAAGAATTAGGGTTTCCTGTCATCTCTATACTGTGCTTTTTTTTAAAACTGAAGTATAATTAAAGACCCTGATGCTGGGAAAGACTGAAGGCAGGAGGAAGAAGAGGGATGACAGTGGATGAGATGGTTGGATGGCATCACTGACTGGATAGACATGAGTTTGAGTAAGCTCTGGGTGTTGGTGATGGACAGGGAAGCCTGGTGTGCTGCAGTCCACGGGGTCACAAAGAGTCAGACACAACTGAGTGACTGAACTGAACTGATATTAATTTACAATGTTCTGTTAGTTTCAAGTGTACAACAAAGTGATTCAGTTATATACATATTCTTTTTCAGATTCTTTTCCATTATAGGTTATCACAAAATACTGAGTATAGTTCTCTGTACAATATACATAGCAGGTCCTTGTTGTTTATCTATTTTATATAATAGTCTGTATATGTTAATCCCAGACTCTTAATTTATCTCCTATCTCCTTTTCATAACCATAAGTTTGTTTTGTTGGTCTGTGAAGCTATTTCTGTTTTGTAAATAAGTTCATTTGTATCATTTTTTTTTAGATTCCACATATAAGCGATATCATATGATACTTGACTTCCTCTCTCTGACTTATTTCACCTGATATGATAATCCCTAGGTCCATCAGTATTGCTGCAAATGACATCATTTAATTTATTTTTATGGCTGAGTAATATTCCATTATATATATATATATATACCATATCTTCTTTATCTATTTCTATGTTGATGGACATTTAGGTTGATTCCATATCTTGGCCATTTTAAGCAGAGCTTGAGTGAACATTGGGATGCACATATATTTTCAGATTAGAGTTTTCTCCACCTATATGCCCAAGAGTGGGAATGCTGGATCACATGGTAGCTCTATCTTTACTTTTTTAAGGAACCTCCATACTGTTCTCCACAGTGGCTGCAGTAATTTAAGTTCCCACTAGTGGCATAGGAGCATTCCTTTTTCTCCGCACCCTCTCCAGCATCTATTACTTATACTTTGTAATGATGGCCATTCTGGCTGGTGTGAGGTGTATGCTGTGGTTCTTGGTGGAGAAGCTATCTTTGTTGTGGTACTAGCTCCCTGGTGATGAAAAGACAGCTATCAACAATTCCCGTGACTACTTGCTTTTTCCTCCAAGCACAAGGAAGAGGGTCTCTGAAGGCTTCAGTAGAAGAGAAAAAAATCCCAGCTTCCCCAGGCTGACCCTAGACCCAGGTGCAAAGGTGGGTTATGTGTTCATCCCTGAAGCGCGAATCCAGGCAAGGATGAGATTTAGCTGCTAAGCCGAACACTGGCCATGTGCTTACTTCCAGAACTGAGGTGGTTCCCCAAGCTAGTCATTTGCTCCTGGGAACAAACGTTCCAGAAAGTTGCCAAAAGAAGGGGAAATGGATAGTGAGAAAACAACCACTAAAGGGATGAAGGTGCAGACACACATAGTGCCTGGTGTGTGGTGGACATTGAGGTCTGCCATTCCCAGCGGACTCCAAATACACTGTTCAAAACAGCAACAGACAAGTCACCGCCAGAAGGCCACCTAACCTGTCAGTGACCTGACACTGACCTTGAGGCAGTCCTCGAGGGTCTTCTACTTGGACAACCCGCACACGGTAAAGGATGAGAGATGCGATGGGCCGAAGGGTGGGAGCCAAAGGAGAGGCTGGGAAGAACTTACTAGGAAAGTCCAGTCCCAGGACACCTGACCAGGAAGGAATGCTGTGCCAAGGCAGCCCGTCACTTGGAATGAATCCGGCTTTCTTCTGCCTCTACCTGATTCTAAGGCAATCCAGATTCATTTGTGTATTGCAAAGGACATTGGGAAGACCTCTTATAAGGAGGCAGAAAGCTAAGCTTTATCTCACCCTTTTCCCTCACCCTCTGCCTTAGTGGGGGCAGGAAGACCTCAAGCCACTCCTGGGGACGTTCTGAGGGAAGGGGAGGGACTTGGGACCTGAGGGCAGAGAAAGGCCCCCCAAGAGGACTGGGGAGGGTCCTTGGGCTCCAGCGCCCGGGGCAGCGGCCCCTGGAAGCAGATTCCTGGGTCCTCGCCGAGGGCACGGAGATCAGGCGGATCCCCTGCACCAGGGCTCGGCCGGTTCACAGGAGGCTCGGCCGGTTCACAGGAGACTCGGCCGGCGCTCCCCGGAATCCCCTTGCCGAATCCAAACTTAAGTGTTCGCGCACAACCCGAATGACCCGCCGGCGACCGGCCCGGTCCCAGGGAATGCGGGAGGGAGACGCGCTTCTCTCCAACGCTAGACAGCCCGCCGGGAATGGAAGCGTCCCCCCGAGCTCCCTCTGGGTCTCTCCGGGAGCGCGTGCCGGCCTTTCCCTGGAGGAAACTCCTCCTCTCGCCGCCTTCGGCCCGACCAGCCCCGCCCGGGACAGCCGTTCCGGTCCGTCCCCTCCCTCTGTCCGAGGTGACCTGGGACCGGCGCTTGGGGGTGTTGCCCTGGGCGCTCGGACACCGCCTCCCAGGATTAAAGCGAGAGCCGGGGAGGGTCGGGGACTCCGAGCTGGGCCGAGGAAGAAGCGAACTCCAGAGGAGCGGAGGAGAAGCAGGAGGAGGAAGGGGTGAGGGGAGGGGAGCTGCCCCGGAGCGCAGCAGGTAAGTGGCGCGCGCGACGGGTTCTCTGTGCTGGAGATCCCGGGAGCAAGGGAGGACCTGGGCGCCCGGGCTGGGTTGGGAGTAGCGGGAGGTGAAGCCAGGTGTGAGCAGCTCCGGCCCCGTGGGTCCGTCCTCCCGCCGTCGGGACGCAAGGGGCTGAGCCCGGCAAAGCGACCTGCGTGAGGTCGGGAGGGTTCCGGGAGCCTGGGACGCCTTGGCGCGGGGGTCAGAGGCTCGCCGGCTGCTCCGTTGGCATCTCTGGGCTGGTGCAGGCTACTCTGCGGCCCCTTAGCCAATTGGTCGGCGACAAGGTGCCTCGGGGTGGGTCCTCTTGGCTGAAATCGGCTCATGCTCCCCTGGCCCCTTAAGCTCCGAGTTGGGGACGAGGGGTGCGCCTTTTCCCTTCGGGGACGATGAGAGAGGGAGGGTTGTCCATCCGCTTCTTTGTTTCGGGAAAATCTCTGCGGCCTCGCGGTGTTACCTGAACGCCCGCTTCTTGGTTCCCTCCCAAAGTGGGGAGAAACTGGAAACTCTCGGAGATGCCGGGACCGATAACGCCGGCGCGGCGGGGACGGGCCTGGAGGGCCTCCGGGCGAGGTGCGAACCGCTCGGTGGCCCCAGGAAGGCACTTCCCACAACCCGGGCCGCAATGCGGCGGCCCGGAGGCCACGGTCAGGGTTGGGCCGCCCGGACAGCCGGCAGCGCCCCCCGCCCCCATTCCAGTCCCTTGAGCTTCCATTGCTGGAAGGAGCGGTTCTGATCTCTCGGCTCACACTCCATGCCACGGACAAGTCCGGACACCTGGGCGCTTCGGTCCACCACATGCCATCCGGCGGGACCCCGGGCTGTGGCCCCGCGGCTGAACGCACCAGCTTGGCAGTGGGCACCGATAAGAACTGCCTTACGGCCCCAAATTTCGCGCTTCCAGGCCTCAAGAGGGGAAGCACGGGTTGCGGGCGGCCGCCGGCCCTGGCGTGCGCCCCGGCTTTTGGGAAGGGCCCACCCCGCCGGTGACCCCAAATCCGGAATTCCTTTTCGGACGCACAAGTGGCTGCGGGCCGGTCAGGTGAAATCCCAGTGGATCGTTTGGGAGGGAAAAGATAGCGACTGGAGATCTGCCTATCGGGCAGGGGTCACCTGGGGCTCTGCCTCGAGCCTGCGAATCCCACCGGATTCAAACTCGCGCCGTAGTACTGGGACCAGGGCAGGTTGGGGCACACAGTAGGCTCCCTGGGCTCCCGGCTCTCCGGGCCGTAGAGAGCCAACCAACTGATGGAAAATTACAAAGGCTGCTAAGGAGAGCGTCAAGGTGTTTAGAAAATCTGAAGTGAGGGGAGGGTTGTTGACTTAGCCTGGGAGGTCTCCGAAGGCTCTCCAGGAAGTGGGGACGGAGCCAGTCTCCCCTGCAGGAGGGTGGGGGCTGGGAGTGGGAGCCGGGCTTACATGATCCAGCTTCCTGGGGGCGCAGGCGCGGCTGCTGCTGATGAGGTGCAGGGGTTGGGGAACCCAGGGAGGCAGGAGAGCTTTGCTTCCGTCTTCCACAGCTTTTCCAGAGGTGGGCCTGCCTGCACCCCCACCACGGTGGACTTTACTGGACCCCTGAGGTCAATGTGAGAGGCCAGGTCAGCACCAGCAAGCCCACACCACAGGAGTCAGGGAGCTGCGGTGGGGGCTCTGCCTGGAGATTGGCGTGGACACCTCCCTCTCTCTGCTTTTAAGGCCATCAGCAGGCCAGCAGCAGGAGCTTTTTGTTCTTGACTGGGAGGTTTGTTTGTTTGATCCCCAGCAATGCCTTTCTTATTGACTCCTCCAAGGTCGGTCTTTTTCCTACAAGGTTGTGTAGTTGCCTGGAGCCTACAGTGCTCAGGATTGCTTGGTGGTTGGCCTCCGCTCACCCTGGGCTGCTCCACCCTGGACTCCTGCTTTAATTGTAGGAGAACATTGGGTTGTACCCCTGTTATCATAGGAACAGCCCATGTGGATGTGGCCTTTACTTCCAGCTGGGCATCCTTCCAGGCTCTTTATGATGCATGTAACTCAGTTGTGAGGAACTAAGGCAGACAGGGGAAATAACTTGCCCCAGGAGATCCTATGACCTGTAGGGAGACCAGGGAGTGCAGGCAGGCCAGATGGCTTGAGGGAAGCTTCGTGAAGCCTGGAATCCTCGTGGGAAAGCGGGTGGCTCTAGGCCCAGGCTGACTTCCTCATGATCCAAGAGCAGAGCCTCTTCCCTGCCCCCTCCCCCCACCCCCGCCCCACTGGCTCGGAGCTGCCCACTTGCAGGGTAACCTGGCCAGGACAGCCTGCCCCTTTATGGGGCAGGGCAGAGGGCTGACCATCTCTGGTGATGGGGTGGATGGTACAGATGTCCTGCAGGCGATGAAGCCTAGACACCCGAAGCACACTATGAGGGTTGTTGCAGAGACTCGGCCCGGCCTGGGACACAGGGTCTACCAGGATGTGTAAACCAGGGCTCCAGGCTGCTTCCTCTCACTCAGGGAAGCTTCGTGAAGCCTGGAATCCTCGTGGGAAAGCGGGTGGCTCTAGGCCCAGGCTGACTTCCTCATGATCCAAGAGCAGAGCCTCTTCCCTTCCCCCTCCCCCCACCCCCGCCCCACTGGCTCGGAGCTGCCCACTTGCAGGGTAACCTGGCCAGGACAGCCTGCCCCTTTATGGCGCAGGGCAGAGGGCTGACCATCTCTGGTGATGGGGCGGATGTTACAGATATCCTGCAGGCGATGAAGCCTAGACACCCAAAGGACACTATGAGGGTTGTTGCAGAGACTCGGCCCGGCCTGGGACACAGGGTCTACCAGGATGTGTAAACCAGGGCTCCAGGCTGCTTCCTCTCACTCCTTTCCACCTAGGTCTGTGGCAGGAGTCCTGGGGGCCTCAGTGACCACCGGGGGTCATTGCCCTGGTTTCAGTTGCTGCATCAGATTCTGATGGAATAGGAAATCTATTTTTTGAAGCCCTCCAGAATTATGCAATCCTTAGGCATGGAGGTAGAAAAAGGAAAGGCGACTGGGTCAAAGTATTGTCTGGTCAGCTTTGCTTACTTAAGGAGGGGAAGCCTAGGGGTTGGGGCACACTCAAGGCTCATCCACCCTCTGCTGCTCTCTCAGCTCTGGGTCTACTGGGTGGTCTTGCTTCCCACAATAACTCAGTCTTTGCTGCCCTTCCTGGCACCCCCTAGGGGACCCCCAAGATGAGCTAAGGGGCCTCTGGGAAGGGGATGGCAAGTGTCATCACCTGGGTGCTGAGACGTGAATTGGGCCAGGCTTGGTGAGTCCCTTCCTAACTTGAGGTTGGGGACTCCTATGTATAGGCTATTTTGCGGGATCTGGCTTGCAAGCCGCTCAGGACTGTGGGCCTGGATGTGGGGGAGGGGACTCCCAGACCCCCCTGGCCAATGGCCAGCCTGGTCCCAAATGCAGTAGCAGAGGGCTCAGATGATCACACAGCCGGGTCTGAGGAACAACTCAGAGGCAGAACTCGAGATCAGGAGGAAGGGGAGGTGACCTCGGACTTGGTCTGCCCCAGCCACTGGACAGAGGTCCAGCGAAGAGGAACCAGGGGAATAAAAAATGTCATGGGCAGTCTTAGAGACATGCAGGGAGAACGGCAGACCCTGATTTTATGGTGGGCGTGTGGGCAGCTCCTTGAACTGTGTATAGTGTGAATCTTGAAGAGGGCAGGTGACCCAAAGCAGAACATTATGCTCTTGTTAGAGGTCAGTTAAGGAGAAGGTGGGAAGGACTTGCCTTGAGTGGAAACTCCAGGCCTTTATGTTGTGTGTAGGCGGGGTGGTGCAGGAGGGTCGAGGGTGCAGAAATGTGATAAGGAAGCAGGAAATGTTTGAAAGGCTTGGAGAAGGAAATGGCAACCCGCTCCAGTATTCTTGGAATACTGGAGAGAGGAGCCTGGCGGGCTACAGTTCATGGGGTTGCAAGGAGTTGGACGTGACTTAGCAAGTGCTGTGCTTAGTCGCTCAGTTGTGTCCAACTCTGTGTGACCCCATGGACTGCAGCCTACCAGGCTCCTCTGTCCATGGGGATTCTCCAGGCAAGAATACTGGAGTGGGTTGCCATGCCCTCCTTCAGGGGATCTTCCCAACCCAGGGATTGAACCCAGGCCTCCCACACTGCAGTCGGATTCTTACCATCTGAGCCACTAGGGAAGTCCTGCAATTCACATTAATTCTTGCAGCTAGCTGCAAGTAAACAGCAACAAAAGCTTAAGTCTGGAAACTTCTGCAAAGGCAGAGTAGACGGAATCATTGGGAGCTCCGTTGGACTTCTAGTGGACATCCATTAGAGAATTATTTTCTAGGGAGCTCTGATCTGGAAGGTGAAATGAAGCCCAGGCTTTTATCGTGGCTTGTTTGGATATCACCTCAAGTCAGCATCACTTTAAGTTCCCTGCTTTCGGAGGGGCCCTCCTGGCAGGGCTAGCACCTGGCCTCATCTGAGACTTGATCTGAACACTGGGCATGTGAAGCCTGTGTTTTCTAGGGATAGATATGTGTTTCTGATCACAAAAAATAAAAGATCATCATGTCTGGCCTCTCAGCTAAAGCCCAGTTTGGTTCTAGAATGTGCTGTAGACACAGCCTTCCAGCATTGGATCAAACTTTTTTTGGGGGGTTTGAGGAACTGCTTCTCACAAGGGAACCCAGTGGATACTGAAACTTCCTCATTGTTGGAACTTGGTTTCCCTGGATTGATTTAAATCTGCCTTCCTGATACTTCTGACCTTTTTGATCCTAACTTCTTCCTTAGGATCTTCACACAAAAAAATCGAGTCCTTTTCCTATACATCAGTGCCTTAGCTACTGTCATTATGCTATTCTGGAGGGCTCATGGTGTGATGGGCATGGTGTTAGACCACGAATACACTTAATCTGGACAAAACCCCATTTATCTGCTATCCTTGGGTCAGGAAGATCCTCTGGAGAAGGAAATGGCAACCCACTCTGATATTCTTGCCTGGGAAATCCCATGGACAGAGGAGCCTGGCGGGCTAGAGTTCATGGGTTTGCCAAGAGTTGGACATTATTAAAGTGACTCAGCATGCATGCCCATTCCACAGATGGACTCAGGCAAGTTCTTCGAACCTTAGACAGTGGTTTTTGTACTTTATCAAGGGACTGGCCACCTCTCCAGCCTGCCTGCTGGCATTCGGTCAACCCTGTGTACCCAGACCTGTGAGGTCACTCACATCTTCAATTTGGCGTCTGCTTTGTCCAGCTGCAGGCTTTCTGGCTCTCTCTGTCTTAAATTTCATCTTACTCATTTGGCCTTTGGGATGTAAAAAAAAAAAAAAAAATTTGGAACATTTTCTGTGTACGGTACAAAACTAGACTGAAAAAAAAAGGACCAGATTCAATTCCTGCCCTAAAAAGTTTGCAATCTCGTTTGGACAACGAGGCATTCATAGAAAAAGAAACTTGGATGATGCAGGCAGTAGCTCTCCCGAGCTGCTCTCTCCCTCCCTCTGTCTTTCTCATCCCTGGGTCAGCCACTGTGTGTGCCTTTTCTCTGATAGTCTTATATTTGTTTACGTTGAACTGTTAATTAAATCCACCACCGTCTCTATTAACTTCCCTCTCATAGTGCATTTTGTCCCCAATGGGACCCAAGAACCTCTCCACCTGTAAGGTGATTATATGCAGTGGCTGAGACCTAAGGGGCTCCATTGGTCATGGACCCTCAGATAGGGAGTATCTGTTGGTGGTGTTTGCTTTGGAGTTTGGAGAAGGCATGCCAAATCCGAGGTCAGGAAGGTGGGGTTTCTTCCACCCGTCACACCTCATCACACAACTGGTGTCTGGAAGGCATTAGAGGGGGCCCGGTGCAGGCGCCCATGCATGCATGATGTGTGAGGGAAAGTCAGTGGAGCCTTCATAATAGGGAAAACCTCTGACTCCTGCGTGGGCATCCGTATCTACCTCTCTGACCTCATTTCCGTTGGTTTGGTAGTTTTCAAAATAAATCTCCAGCAAATGTGTTTTGAAGTCCAGAGTAAAGATACTGTAAGGAGGAACTCTCCTTGTCTAGAAATAGCTTCATCACGTCATGGGAGGCTGGTAGCGTTCCACAACACCGTCCTGTCAAGTGGTGGCCGGGCAGGTGACGCGAGGCTTGAGTCAGTCCCCTGAAAGGAGAGCCCAGGGTGCCCCGGGACAGTCATGCTCTGCCGTGTGACTCAAGTGGGCGACGTTGAAGTGGACGTGGCCAGGAGCAAGCAGCAGGGCAGAGCCTCGCCACATGTGAGTCTTGGTTACTTTGGGGAAAAGTGCTTCCCCGAGGCTGGCTTTCAGTCCTCAGGGTCTGCCAGCCGTGGGATCTCTGGGTGAGAGAGGATTGTGCTGCAGTCATTTCTGGGTCCTGGGCTTTTAGGGGACAGTTCACGGCTGCGGCTCCCCGTGCCCCTGGGCTCCTGGCTTCCTGGTCTCACTGTTTGGGATCTTGAATGACTAGGGAGTGTGGATTTCAGGCACTGATTCATCACTCCTTTCAGAGGGCTCTTAAACTGGGAGAGCTGCCAGTGAGATCAGATTTTCATTTCCTGAAACTCCAACCAAACCTATAACTGGTAAGATAGCTCAGAGGCCCAGGGAGTGCCTGCCACTGTGGGCAGAGAAACCAGGGGCGAGAACCTTGGCCAGGGCAGGACTCACCTGAAATTAATCCGAGGAAGGTGCCAGCTTTTCCTGCTTAGACGAGAGGATTCTCTACTGCTGTCAAGTCTCAGAAATGTCTCTCATTACAGAGCAGAAGTAGGGAAGGTTATTAATATGTGATCATCACACCCATGTAAAGATGTAAACATCGTGTATATTCTACATGCTGATCCCCTCCTCCTGGGTATGGGTCAGGTTTTTTCCCTCATACCTGGAATCATGCTGACTCTTTTTATTTTTTTAATCTTAAAAAAATCTCAAAGCTGTCAGCACCAACTGGTTCTTTTATTTTATCTTTACATGAAAAGCAAATGAAAGATCTGGTACATCTTCCTTGTGACTTGTTCAGCAAGTTTTCCCGAGATTAAACACATTTACTTATATTTTTATTTATCCAAGTTAATGTTTGAGGTTTTTTTTAATGTGTAACGAGTCAAATAATAATTTTGCTTGGGACTCGAAGAGGCAGTGCCAGCTTGAGCTCCAGTGGGTTTTTCAGAGCTGGTGGATTTCATGTTGGTATCTTGGGCACTCTTTCCAGATGCAGATCTTCGAATCTCTAAATGCTGCCAATCAGGCCCATCCTGCCTCTATGGGCTATTCAACACTTATCAGCTTTATGGTCAGTTTTAGGAGCTTCCCATGTGGTGCTAGTGGTAAAGAATCCACCTGTCAATGCAGGAGACTCAAGAAATGTAGGTCCGATTCCTGGGTCAGGAAGATTCCCTGGAGTAGAAATGGCAACCCTCTCCAGTAGTCTTGCATGGAAAATTTCATGGACAGGGGACCCTGGTGGGCTACAGAGTCAGCTCTGTAGGTACAGCCTTGATGGGCTCCTTTTCCAATTTTGAAGCAGCTTGTTGTTCCATGTCTGGTTCTAACTGTTGCTTTTTAACCTGCATACAGGTTTCACAGGAGGCAGATAAAGTGGTCTGGTATCCCCATCTGTTTAAGAATTTTCCCCAGTTTGCCTCCTTAGGTAGGTTTATTCCTTTAGGTATTTTATTCTTTTCGTTGCAATGGTAAATGGGATTGTTTCCTTAATTTCTCTTTCTGATCTTTCATTGTTACTGTGTCAGGCTGCAAGAGATTTCTGTGTATTAATTTTGTATCCTGCGACTTTACTGAATTTATTGAGTAGTTCTAGTAGTTTTCTGGTGGCATCTTTAGGGTTTTCTGTGTATAGTAAGTATCATGCCATCTGCCAACAGTGACAGTTTTTCTTCTTCTTTGCCAATTTGGATTCCTTTTGTTTCTTTTTCAACCCTGTATTGGGCGCTACTGTTATCCCCTCCCCCTCCATTTTTTTTTTTTTAAACAGGTTTGTAAGCACTATGTTTGTTACACTGTGCAAAAACCTCTTATACTAAGTAAACACCAAACTACATTCTTCAGAAAGATGCTTCTAGTATGTCCTAGATAACTTCTGTATTATTTAAGTGAAACCACTTTTAAAAAGCAGTGACTTAGACAAACCAACCCTAATGATTCGTTAAACCATTTCCCTGTTTTACAGACAAGGAAACCGAGGCCCGGAAGCTTTATTAGACTTGCCCCCAGGTCATGGCTAGTGTGAGTGAGTTTGGTTTGGATCCAGAGTCTGGTCCCAGGAGTCATGGGCGCAACCACCCTGCCTTGCTGCTTGTATCGCCTGTGCACCAGGCACTCTACAGATGAAAGATGCTCTGACCAGATCTGCCAGCTTTGAAGCCCAGAGCTCTCTCACCCAGGACAGGGCCTGTGGATGGGTGATTGTGAAGGCCGTTTCTTGGAATTACTGTTTGATCAATTCAAGGCAGCCAGGAGTGGTGGACAAAAGCCACTCTTTGCTTATGATGGAAAGAGTGACGTCAGATGGGCTGTTACTATAAAGCTTTTTATGTTGATGGTCTTCCTAGACACCACTGTTCAAAAACGTCTGCAAACAAGGTGACCAAGGGCCTTATTTTTCATGACCAATTTCCTTATATATTGATAAGTGTATTGTATAGGGCTTCCCAGGCGGTTCAGTGCTAAAGAATCCGCCTGCCAATATAGGACACACAGAAGACAGTGGGTTCAATCCCTGGGCCGGGAAGATCCCCTGGAAGAGGAAATGGCAACCCACTCCAGTATTTTTGCTTGAAAAGTCTCTTGGACCGATATCTTTAGAAACCACTCAAATGGTTAGTCCTGAATTTCCTTCTTTTCTGGATTTGGGAATAGAAAGTGGAGTATCGAGTGAGTCTAAATGTGTTTTATGGAATTTTGACACGTTTGTGTTGGTTAAGGTTGCAGTGGCTCCGTGTGGCTTATTTGTATGTGTGTGTTGGGTTTTTTTTTTTTTCCTCTCTGCTTTTTAAGATTTATTTATTTTTAATTGAAGGATAATTGCTTTACAACATTGTGTTGGTTTCTGTCATACATCAGCATGAATCAGCCGTACGTATACATCTGTCTCCTCCCTCTTGAACTTCCCTCTCACCTCATACAGCTTGTTTTTAAAAAAAAAAAAAAATTTATTTATTTATTTGGCTGCATGGAGTCTTGGTTGCAGCACCCAGGATCTTTAGCTGCAGAATGTGGGATCTAGTACCCTGACCAGGGGTCCAACCTGGACCCCCTGCATTGGGAGCGTGGAGCCTTTGCCACTGCACCACCAGGAAAGCCCCTGATGGGATATTTGAAAAGTCAGGTGTGGCCTCCCTCTGGGTCTGAGCTCTAGACCACTTGCTCCATGGTGGGTGGGGTGGGTGGACTGCTGCTCATTCTCTCCGAGGATGCTCTGTAGGGAAGACCCCGCAACCTCTCATCACATCTGCCATTGCTAGGGCATGTGAGGTGTCTGCCTGCACCCTCAAGTTAAATCCTCATCCAAACAAGCCCGTGTGGCGGCTGCGTTTGCTTCTGCCCGGCATCCAGAGAGGTCACTCGCCCAAGGGCATCAGGGGACATGGCACTGTCAGGAGCTGACCCAGGGCTTTGCTTTGCATCACCTCCGCCAAACTGATGGCTGAAAATTCCCCACGCCTATTTCTTTTTTACTGGATTCTCGTTTTGGTGGATGTAATGTCCGGGAAGTCTGGGCCTCCCCGTGGGAGCAGGGTGAGTGAGGCAGGCCCTGAATGTAAGTTACAAGCGAGCAGGTCCCCAGCTCCTTCGGGGTGGGCAGCTGTGGGTACAGTGATGAGGTGAAGGTGAAGGTGAGCAGGCAGAACCGCTGTGGTTGTGGCGAGAGGTGACTGTTGCCCAGGACGTCTTCTGGTTCTTTCCCGTCTCATCTCCCGCAAACTCACCAGTACGATACAAAACAGTCCTGTCGTTCTTTCCTCTAGGTCAACGCGAACGTTCCAAATACCTCCCTTGACCCGATGCTGCTGATAACATCAGGATGGCTTTAAACTCAGTAAGTGGTTAATCATTACCTCCCTGGCCTTGCCCCGTCCTGGGTTCCTTCTGCTCTTTCCAGCGGCGGCATGTGCTGGTCAGTGCTGTTAGAGCTGCCTGCTGGATGCTTGCCGGATGCTGTGAAGGCACTCCGAGGGTCAGGGGTGAGCAGGAGTGGGGCGGCGTGAGTTGCATGGCCATTGTGCAGTTGTAGGGGGTGTGGTGGTGATGAGGTTCTTCCTGCTCAGATCAGGATGGAACAGAGGGCAGGGGTGAGATGTGGGGACAGACAGAGGCAGGATGGTGGAGAGAGGGAGAGTGTGTGTGTGTGTGTGTGTGTGTGTGTGTGTTAGTCACACAATCATGTCCCACTCTTCGTAGTCCCGTGGACTGTGGCCCACCAGGCTCCTCTGTCCGTTGGATTCTCCAGGCAAGAATACTGGAGTGGGTTGACGTTTCCTTCTCTAGGGAATCTTTCTTACCCAGAGATTGAGCACGGGTCTCCCACATTGCAGGAAGATTCCTTCCCAGTTAAAAGAGAGTGCCTGGGACACCAGTGGCCAGAAGAGCAGTGTGGCCTCACTTACTGATAGCCTGGGAGAGGCCAGGGCTGAAGCGAAGGGCTGGCCACCCCCTCTCTGAAACCTCCCCCCGCCCCCTCCCCACACTTTGGATACAAATGTACCTTACATTTGAGCCTCTTGATGAAAGTGAAAGAGGAGAGTGAAAAAGCTGGCTTAAAACTCAACATTCAAAAAACAAAGATCGTGGCATCCAGTCTCGTCACTTCATGGCAAACGGATGGGGAAACAATGGAAACAGTGACAGACTTTGTTTTCTTGGACTCTAAAATCACTGCAGATGGTGACTGCAGCCATGAATTTAAAAGACTCTTGCTCCTTGGATGAAACACTATGACCAACCTAGATAGCATATTAAAAAACAGAGACATTACTTTGCCAACAAAGGTATATCTAGTCAAAGCTACGGTTTTTCCAGTAGTCATGTATGGATGTGAGAGTTGGACTATAAAGAAAGCTGAGCACTGAAGAATTGACACTTTTGAACTGTGGTGCTGGAGAAGACTCTTGAGAGTCCCTTGAACTGCAAGGAGATCAAACCAGGCAACCCTTAAAGAAATTAGTCCTGAATATTCACTGGAAGGACTGGTGCTGAAGCTGAAATTCTAATATTTTGGCCACCCGATGCAAAGAACTGACTCATTGGAAGAGATCCTGATGCTTGGTAAGATTGAAGGCGGGAGGAGAAGGGGACAACAGAGGATGAGACGGCTGGATGGCATCACCGACCTGATGGACATGAGTTTAGCAAGCTCCAGGAGTTGGTGATGAACAGGGAAGCCTGTCATACTGCAGTCCATGGAATCGCAAAGAATCAGACACCACTGAGAGACTGAACTGACTGACTGGCTGTACCTTCCCCATCGCATCTCACTTATCATCTTACATTTAGGTTACTAAAAGTTGTGGTTGACAGCAGAGATCTCTCTTCTATCTTTTCTACCTTTGCCTGCCCCGTTCCTGTATTTGGTAGTTTTCACTGGATCCTTTTAAAATTCCAAACCCACGTTACAGGAACTCACAGGGTCAGACCGCCGTGCCCGCTGCCACCTTTCCTGGGAAGGTCAGCGTGTTCTCAGATGCTTCAGATGGAGACCAGACGCCTGTACTGTTTCGGCCCCTGGCTTCCTCATTTAGATGAGAGATTACCTTCTGTTTTCCCTTTCTGTTACTGCTCTGGTCTTGGGTGCAAGCTTCGGACTCTGGAAGGGGCACGTTGGTGAGTTATTAAACTCAAGATTGGCTCACTGCTTTCTAACCACACTGCCCTGGAGGTCTCATTTAAAATTCTCAGCATTGAGTCGCCTCTGCTCAGGATACTAGTCCCCTCTGAGCTCTCAGTCAGCAAGGAACAATGCGAGGAATTACTGAGTGGGGAGGAGTGTTGCAAGTGGGCACTTAGATAAGAGGGCAGGTGTGGCTCCCAGGGTGGCCTAGCGAGTGGGTGGTCTGTGGGGGCAGGAGTGGGCCTGAAGCACAGCAAATTCACAAGCTCCTGGGGTCCCCAGTGGTCTTGGGGAGTCAGGGTTTGGAAAGGACAGATTTTTAAGTAGGCATAAGGGGAGGAGAGAAGTGAAAAGAAAAGAAAAGAAAAGAAAAACAACAACAAGTAAAACCAAAATTAAAAAGCAAATGACAAGCTAGAAAACACATTTTTAAGAAAAGATTTACCACTCTCTACATAGAGTGTTCACAAAAAATTGGTAGAATACTAAGATTCCAATGGGCTTCCCTGGTGGCCCAGGGGTAAAGAATCCACCTGCAATGCAGGAGACATGGGTTTGTTCCCTGGGTCAGGAAGATCCCCTGGAGAAGGGATTGGCTACCCACTCCAGTATTCTTACCTGGAAAATTCCATGAATATCAGCCTGGCGGGCTACAGTCCATGGGGTTATGAAGACTCAGACGTGACTGAGTAACTGAGAGTTTCACTTTCACATAGGAAATCTGCAGTGCTGTCCCCATGAACTGACTGAGTGCCATGGGATGTTTCTTTCAGCTTTGGAATAAGTACAGCTCTGTATCATTCATCTTCTTTTTAATTGTTTAGGGATCATCACCAGGTGTCGGGCCTTACTATGAGAACCATGGATACCAGCCGGAAAGCTTGTACCCTCAGCAGCTGCCCACGGCTCCCCCTGCTTACGAGGTGTACCCTGCTCAGTACTACCCGCCCGTGGTGCCCCAGTACACGCCAAGGGTTCAGACGCACGCCTCGACACCTGTCATCTACAGGCAGCCCAAACCTCCGTCCGGGACAGCGTGCACCTCAAGTAGGACCCTTTTTGCTTTTATTTTCTGTAATGGAACCGAGTTTTGGGTCTGCCTTCTCCAGTGTACCCTCTGCCCCCGCTAGCTCGATGCCAGCTCTCCTCGGTCTGCAAGGCTGATGTGCATGCCTCTCCCTTCCCCATCTCTATGTCAAAGTTGTGGACCCTGGTTCTCACTGCCCGGGGGCCTTTGGGAGCCTCTTAGCTAGGTGGCGCTAGTGTTAAAGAATCTGCCTGCCAATGCAGGATATGCCCGAGTGGTGAATTCAGTTCCTGGGTTGGGAAGATCCCCTGGTGGAGGAAATGGCTACCCACTCCAGTACTCTTGCCTGGAGAATCCCACGGACAGAGGAGCCTGGCGGGCTACAGTCCATGGGGTTGCAAAGAGCTGGACACGACTGAGCACACAGCACACATATGCAGCTGCTAAAACCTTCATCTCCCACTAACGCTCCTGTACCAGCTTGGCCTGTACCACCCAGGGTGGTCTTTCCAGCCCAGCCTCTCTGAACTGCTTCTTGTCTGCATGGTTTACTACTGTGTTATCTTGAGTAAATGGTAAGCCCCCAGCCCCCAGTGCAGGAAGAAACAACCTTTCTCCATGTATCCATTTCCTGGATGCCTCAAGTCATGGTCAAGGTGCTTGATGAGTATTCTGTAATTCAGTGAAGGAAGTGGCTGGTGGGGTTGTCACCCAGAAGCATCTGCAACATTTGCTCATGGCTTGAAGGATCTTATAGGCAGACCTGAGCGGGTCATGGAGCGGGTGAGGGACTGCAGGTGGTGTGTCTTCTGTCCACCACCTTAATTCCATGTCTTTCATGTACTCTCATTTGTCTGCTTTCTTTTTTAATAGTTCAAACTTTTAATTAGTTAATAAATTGTTTTGGCCCCATTATGCTGCACGCAGGATCTTAGTTCTGTGACCAGCAATTGAACCTGTGCCCCTTGCATTGGAAGCACAGGGTCTTAGCCTCTGGACCAGCAGGGAGGCCCTTGCCTGCTCTCCTTACATTTCATTTTATCTTCTTTCCCTCCAGATCCCTTCCCTTTGTGCCCGCTCCCCCAGCTTGTAACGCAGGCAAGCTGATGTGGTAAGCACCGCCCAGGCAGAACTAGTACAGCCAGTTACTTATAGGAGCACAGAGCTAGCACAGGGGTTGGCCCAAGGGGCATTTTCATTGACAACATTTTATTTTGTGAGATACACATACCCTCACACACAACTCACACAGTTAAAGATCTATGACAAGGTGAATTTCCATGTGCCAACAACACACCGTAAAGAGTGGCATCAGGTAATGTCTGTGCCCTTTGAAGATTCCTCTCCTCAGACCTCCCTAGCTCTTCACAACTGCTGTCACTTGTATTTCTGTCTCTGTCCTTTGCTTTGTCTCCGTCATGCTTCACAGATCGCTCTCCCATCCTTCCTCCTCCCCACCGCCACGCTCTTCCATTCCTACGTTTTCTAATCCTTGGCGATCCCTTCTCCTTAATTAGTCCTACTCCTTTCCTGTGTGGTTCTCTTTCCTTCCGTGCGTTCATCGTGGTTCAAGAAATTACTTGTCTCTGCACTGATGTCTTTCTGGTGGTAGCTGTTCGATTGAGACCGGTGGCTCCTAACGGGGTGATGTTGACCCTCGGGGGCATTTGGCAATGTCTGGAGACAGTTTTGGTTGCTCTGACTGGGGTGGGGTTGCTACTAGCATCTGTTTGTTAGGTGCCAGTGATGATGCTAAACATCCTCCAGTGCACAGAATGACCACCACCAAGGATGACCCCGCCAAGGTGTCCATAGTACCCAGGCTGAGGACCACTGGTCTTAGCCCCTCATGGTCTTAGCTCATCCTTCCCTAACTCTTGGCAACCACTGACTTGTCTCTGTAATTTTGTCTTTTTTAGAGTGTAGAGTTGAAGTCATGCAGTAGTGTGTAGCCTGTCAGAGCCTGACAGTATTTTGCAAGTGACTTAAATAGCACAAAGTCAAGAGATCCTCAGAGTACAAGGGACATGTTATCTTCCCGGCTCTGTTTGTTTTAGCAAGAGATCTTTCACATTGAACCTTAATGCATGTGTTAGCATTCGGGTTTTGGAGGCCTGAAGGTCAACAGTCCTGTGAGGCAAATGGTTGACACTGGTCACAGAAGGGCCACATCAACAGTTGATAACAATGAAGGTAAGAGGAGAGTGAAAAAGCCGGCTCAAAACTCAACATTAAAAAAACTGAGACATGGCATCTGGGTCCCATCACTTCATGATGGATAGAACGGGAAGAAAGTGGAAGCAGTGACAAGATTTTATTTTCTTGGGTTCCAAAATCACCTCGGATGGTGACTGCAGCCATGAAATTAGAAGATGCTTGCTCCTTGGAAGGAAAGCTATGACAAGCCTAGACAGTGTATTAACAGGCAGAGACATCACTTTGCTGACAGAGGTCCATATGGTCAGAAGCTTCCCTGGTGGCTCAGATGGTAAAAAATCTGCCTGCAATGTGGGAGACCCAGGTTCAGTCTCTGGGTCAGGAAGATCCCCTGGAGAAGGAAATGGCAACCCACTCCAGTACGCTTGCCTGGAGAATCCCATGGACAGTGGAGCCTGGAGGGTTACAGTCCATGGGGTCGCAAAGAGTCGGACACAACTGAGCGACTAACACACACACACGGTTTTTCCAGTAGTCATGTACAGATGTGAGAGTTGGGCTATAAAGAAGGCTGAGCACCAAAGAATTGATTCTTTCAAATTGTGCTGGAGAAGACTCTTGAGAGAGCCCCTTGTACTGCAAGGAGATCAAACTAGTCAATCCTAAAGGAATTCAACCCTGAATATTCACTGGGAGGACTGATGCTGAAGCTGAAGCTCCAGTACTTTGGCCACCTGTGCAAAGTGCCGACTCATTGGGAAAGACCCTGATGCTGGGAAAGATTAAAGGCAGGGGGAGAAGAAGGTGGCAGAGGATGAGATGGTTAGATAGCATCACCAACTCAATGAACATGAGTCTGAGCAAACTCCAGAAGATAGTGAGGGACTGGGAAGCCTGGCGTGCTGCAGTACATGGAATTGCAAAGAATCAGACATGACTTAGGGACTAAACAACAATAACAATGGCAAATGATTAGTCAGCTATACCTACACCTAAATAGGTACAATTGCAAACCAGCACCCATTCCAGTCTGATTGGCCAGACACTGATCCCGAAATAGCTGTCCACCAGCGGTGAGATCTGGGGCCCCCGCTGACCACACTCCTAGCAAGAGCTGGGCGGGTTGCCACCCTGTCCAGGAGAGGTTCAGGACGCCTAGTTCAGAACACTCTCTCAACAAGAGTTTTGGGACACCTGGTTTACCATCCTTCTACTCACCAGGCACGGTATCTTATTTGGATACTATGACACACAGGGAAGTCAACCAAAGGAAGAAATCACCCTTTACTGATGGATCAAATTGACCATTTGGAATTTCCCCTGAGCCTCCTTGGTGACCCCAGCTTGCCTGCTGCCAGACACATTGACCGTGAACCAAGTCCTGATAACACGTGGCTGGTGTCACATGGCACTCTTCAGACCAGCGGCCGTGACCTCACCCAGGAGCCTGTAGGTCTGAGACTCGCCTCCTCTCCCCTAGCTGAGTCAGAATCTCTGGATAATAGGCTCCCCAGGTGATTCCTAAGCTGGTTTGAGCACAGACTGTGGAATCTGCAGAATGTGGTAATAAAATGAGGGCTGAGGGTTCATGCTCAGATCCAGTGGTTCAACTGACTCCAGGAACTGGACGTCTTGGTCTGGTGGACTTCTGGAAGGAAAAATGTGCACAGGTGGGGTGCAGGGCCTCCCCATGGGCTCCACTGCTGCTGCCCGATGTCCTCCTGTAGGAGCTGAGTAGTAGGTTGTATAAGAGCCTTCGCCCTGGCTCTCCTCTCCTCCGCCCATCCGCCCATCTCCCGAGGGAAGCACCGACTCTGGGGCACTCTCTGCACAGGAACTGCTGGGCGTGGCGGTGGTGGGCATCTTACTCGGAAGCTTCGCAGGACTTGTGGCTTATGCTCTGACCAACAGCGGCGTGTCGGTTTGTTTTGAAATGGTACCCCACTCCAGTCCTCTTGCCTGGAAACTCCCATGGACGGAGGAGCCTGGTAGGCTGCAGTCCATGGGGTCACTGCGAGTCGGACATGACTGAGCGTCTTCACTTTCACTTTTCACTTTCATCACTGGAGAAGGCAATGGCAACCCACTCCAGTGTTCTTGCCTGGAGAATCCCAGGGACGGGGGGAGCCTGGTGGGCTGCCGTCTATGGGGTCGCACAGAGTCGGACACGACTGCAGCGACTTAGCAGCAGCAGCAGCAGCAGCAAACACTGGTGACCTTGTCCTATAACTTGTCTTCTTGGCAGAAATGTGAGCCCAGAGCTCCTGTCCTCAGACCTGGGGAGCGACCCTAGCACTGCCCTGTAGATACTCCCACAGTGATAGATCATCCTTCCTCTTCACAGTCCAGTGCGGCAGCCACTGGCCATGTGGGACTATCCAGCAGTTGAATTTGCAGAATGATTTAATATCATTTAACATGAGAATTAATTAAAGTGAAAATAGCCACATGAGTCCAGTGACCGTGAGTCAGTGAGTCAGTGTGACTCTGGCCCACCCATTCCCTAAACTGCCTTGAGGAAGAGGCTTTTTTCTCCTGCCTCGAGTACCACTGACGTGGAGATGAGAGAATGGCTGTGCTTTTTGGCTTGCAGGATCTTAGCTTCCCAACCAGGGGTCAAACCTGGGCCCCCTGCATTGGAAGCTTGGAGTCTTAACCTTTGGACAGCCAGGGACATCCCTGGAGATGACAGTTTGGGGAGTGTTATTATTATTTTGCTTATGCTTGCAATTACTGGAGCAAGGTATATTTCCTTTATTCAACCAATTTTTTACATTCATCATCTTTTGGACTGTCTTAAGACCCAAAGACTATCTTATTTTCTTAAGAGCTTAACTTCAGTCTATGTTTGCTTTATATCATGGCTTCCTGCTTTGGTTCTCCAAAAAGTTAACTCTCTGGAAGAAATAAGGCCTCACAGGATATGCTCTTAAAGAGAAAAGTCGCTGTTAAAAAATGGAAATATAATTGCTTAAAGAGAAAAGTCACTGTTAAAAAACGGAAATATAATTGCTTTACAATATTGTGTTAGTTTTCGCCGTACGGCACTGAGAATCAGCCACAAGCATACATACGTCCCCTCACTCTTGAGCCTCCCTCTCACCGAGCTCCCCATCCTGCCCCTCGAGGCCATCACAGAGTGCTGAGCTGAGCCCCTGTGTGGGCCAGCAGCTTCCCACTGCTGTTTTACACATGGTGGTGTGTACGTGTCAACGCCACTCTCTCCGTTCGTCCCGCCCTGTCCTTCCCCCACTGTGTCCGCAAGGCTGTTCTCTGTGTCTGCCTCTCTATTCCTGCCTTGCAGATTGTTTCATCAGTACCATTCTTCTAGATTCCATATATATGTTTTAAAACATGATATTTACTTTCCTCTTTCTGGCTTACTTCACTCTTGTATGATAGGCTCTAGGTTCATCTGCCTCACTAGAGCTGACTCAATTTCATTCTTTTTATGGCTGAATAATATTTAAGTGTATAAGTAAGTAAGAGAAAGTCACTCAGTCGTGTCCGACTCTTTGAGACCCCATGGACTATACAGTCCATGGAATTTTCCAGGCCAGAATACTGGAGTGGGTAGCCTTTCCCTTCTCCAGGGGATCTTCCCATCCCAGGGATTGAACCCAGGTCTCCTGGATTGCAGGCAGACTCTTTAGCAGCTGAGCCACGAGGGAAGCCCAAGCATACTGCAGTGGGCAGCCTATCCCTTCCCCAGGGTCTTCTTCCCGACCCAGGAATCAAACTGGTATCTCCTCCATTGCTAGCGGATTCTTTACCAACTGAGCTATCAGAGAAGCCCCGTTTAAGTGTATACGAAATTATTATTCCTTGATAAGATATACCATAAAAGTACTGCATGAAATTTGAGGGTCTAAGAAACCAGGTGACTAAGTTGTGTACTCACGTCTTTTCCTGCAGAGACTAAGAAGGTCCTGTGCATCACCTTCACCCTGGCGGCCCTGCTCGCAGGAGCGACCCTGGCCGCCGTCCTCCTCTGGAAGTACAGTAAGTGCCGTCCAGGGCCGGGTTGCATTGTGCTGGCCCTTTAGCAGCCCTGCTGTCTGGACCGGGGGCCCACCCCCAGCCCCGCAGGAAGTCTCCCATCTCTTTCCTCCTGTTTATGACTACCAGATGCTTGGATAACCTTTCTTGGAAGCTGCCACTCTCATTGGCATACTTCCTCCTCGCCTGTGGGTTGTCAAGATCCCATGCCCTTCGTGTGGTTTTGACACATGGGGGACAAGCACCCTGAGCTCACCCTGTGCTTTAGGACACTGGGTGGGGCCTGGCACTCGTGAGCGCCCGCAGCTCGGGGGCACAGCCGTCTCCTGCATTTCAGGGTACACGCTGGTGGCTGGAGGCCTACCCTCCCCGGGGGGCTCCTGCACCCACAGCCAGGCCTCCTCCACCAGCCTGGGGCGGGATCATGGGTCACAGGACTCACCCGTGTGGCGGGGGCGCGGGGAACTGCTGTCTAGATCCCAGGTTAGGGATCCGCCTCCAGCCGGAAGTAATAAACCCGGGGGATTCACCACTGCTGTGGTCAGCCCCGCTTCCTTTGACATACGCTGTCAGCAAGGACTCATCCCCTCCTTTTAAAATAGAAGGGGATGGCTTGCTGTCTCTTGTCCCGAGGGCTGGGGGTTTCCTTGGATTCTCAGCCTGATGGGCGTCTCTCTCTGCTTCTCTGCAAGTGGAGGACGGGTGCTCAGGGCTGAAGTGTGGCTCCTCTGGGACCTGTGTGAGCCCCTCTCTCTGGTGCGATGGCATCCTGCACTGCCCCAGTGGTGAGGACGAGAACAGCTGCGGTGAGTGGCGGGGCTGCTGGTGGGAGGGGGCCACTTGGCTCGGGCACCGGGTGGCCCCCACAGAGGCCACAGCAAGGCAGGCGCATGGTGCCAGGCCCGTATCCTACATGGCAATCACTCCATCACCGACTGAACCTTGCATCCAGCCTAGTTTTCAAGTGAGGAGACAGGCTCAGAGGGGGCGAGCTCCTGCCTGGAGTCACACAGCCAGGGGATGGGAGACCACAGCCTAGGGCCAGGCCGCATTCATGCCCCAGCTGCCACAGGACGTGACTAAAACAGCAAACTGTTTAAAATATCAGGTTGGGAGTGGGCTCTGTGGTTTCTAAGCAAGCTGCCTTTCGGGTGGTCTATGTCCGTTGTCCCAGGGTGGACACTGCTTCTGCTTTTATTTTTAATGAATTTTTCAGTAGCTGTGGGCTTCCCAAATGGCGCTAGTGGTAAAGAATTCACCTCCCAGGGCAGGAGATGCAAGAGACATGCATTCGGTCCATGGTTCAGGAAGATCCCCTGGAGAAGGGAAAGGCAACCCACTCCAGTATTCGTGCCTGGAGGATCCCATGGACAGAGGAGCTTGGTGGGTTATAGTCCATGGGGTCACACAGAGTCAGACACGACTGAGCAACTGGACACAAAATAGGTGTAGCAGGGAAAATGATGCCTGAGGATGAGGGTTGCGCTGATATCTGCTGAAGGCCCTCACCAAAGCCTGAGACCTGCTGCATGCTCTGGGAGCCGTTAACGTTGAGTGCAAGTGATGCAGACAGAGACTGTGCTCCACCCCAGAACTGTCCATCCCTCTGTGGCCATCCTGGAGAGATGGTTCTCTTTTCCACCCCAAGTCCAGGTCAGGGCACCTGTGTGAGACACTGTTGTCCTGCCCGTGGGTTCCTCTGCACTGGGAGTTCCTGGAGTTCTTGCTTACAGGAGAGGATTTGCACTTGGCAGACTCACTCACTCTGCAGACTGTCCACATAGTGCTTTGCCTTTATGGGTGATAGTATATTTGTCACCATTTTCTTAAGTAAAGTGGAGAGTTTCTGAGGTTGAGCAGACGTGGTTACTCTATTGGATGGAATGGTGTCTGATGTTCTAATACTTGTATCCACTCACGTGTTGATAACTCTAGCAAGACCAACTCATGATGTTGCCTGGAGAGACTTTCTCTTCTTAATGTTGAAGTTGTATTTATTTAAATACTGTAGGAGTTAATGTCCTCAAACAGACCAAAATTCAGGAAGTAGCTAAGGGTATGCAGTGAAAAATCTCACCTGCCACGTCACTTACACTCTCACGTAACACACTCACACACAGTCTCATGCTCACATGTACTAATACATACACTCAAACACTGTGAGATTAAATAGAGGACAGGTGCTGGTCTCCGACCCCAGTTCCCAGCACAGGGCTCCTGAGACCACGGTGATTTTCAAGTGATGAGACCACCTGGTGCATCCTTTGTTTTGGTATTTGGTCCCCGACCCCAGCTCCTGACAAGGAGCTCCTAAGCCCCTTGTCATTTCCTGGGTGATAGAAGGGTCTTTTGTTCAATGAGGCGATTCTGGGTGGCTCGTGAATGGCTCCTGTGAGCCCTGGTCCCCACAAAGACTGAGCCACGGATAGAAGCTTGGACCTGTCAGCCCCTCACCTCCCTGTCTTGAAACCACTTTCTCGTCAGAAAACCACTGATCCTTTTACTGTCTCCATGGTTTTGCCTTTTCTCAAGTATCATAGAGTTGGAATCCTACAGGATGTGTGTAGCCTTTTCAGATTGGCTTCTTTCATCACTGACTGATGTGCACTTAAGGTTCCTCCATGTCTCTTCACAGCCTGATGGCTCATTTCTCTTTAAGGCTGAATCATATTCCACTGTCTGGATGCCCCTACAGTTGGTTTATCCACTCACATGGTGGATGGAATCGCTCATCACAGAAGCATCAAGGCTGGTTGCTCCACGGCGGCCTGAGCCCAGATGTCAGGCCCTAAGCAACAACTAATCTGCTTTCCGCCTCCATAGATTTTTTTCCTCCAGATGTTTCATAGAAATGGGGTCCTACAGTGTGTGGACCTTTGCCTGGCCTCTTTCAGTCAGGAGAATATCAATTGTGTGAACGTTCATGCCTGTTGTATCATGTCAGTGTTTCATCCCCTTTCATGGACTAATAATGTTCCATTGTGTGCAAGGACTGCACTCTGTGTGTTCCTCCATCAATGAACATTCGGATATTACCCACTTTCAGCTCCTGGGAATAATGCTGTCATGAACACATGTGCACGATGTTCATTTTTATCTGAATACCTGTTTTCAGCTCTGTTGGCTGAAAGGCACATTTTGAGAGGAAAGGCTAGATTCTGGGCATCTCCTGTGTGTAGCTGGGGAGAGGGAGCCCAGCTCCACCCCTCTGGAGGCTTTGTGTCCGGGGAGGGTGGGGCCCGCGTGAGGACAGGATGAAGGTCACGGTCTGGGACTCACCGGAGCCTCCCTTCCCACAGTTCGCCTCTATGGACCGAACTTCATCCTTCAGGTGTACTCGGCACAGAGGAAGTCCTGGCATCCCGTGTGCCAGGACGACTGGACTGAGAGCTACGGGAGGGTGGCCTGCCAGGACATGGGCTACCGGTGAGTTCTGGGCCCCTCGTCCTCCCTGGTGATGGTGACAGGCACAGAAGCATAGAATCGGTGCTTCTCTCTGCCCCTCCCCAGAAGTGCCAGCCCACGGACACCATATACCTCTGCCTTCTTCCCAAAGCTGCCCCAGGGAGCCAGCAGGGGAGCATGTGCCCCACACCCTCAGCCTCTTCCTGGCTGCCCCCAGCCCCACCTCCAGCCTGCCAGTCCGGCCTCCCGGGGGGAGGCTGTGCCATTTTGCTGCCACCTTCTCTTCCTTGGGAGTGTCCCCATGTGACTTCTCTGCAGTTCTAGCCTATTCCCCCTATGCCAGTTTTCAAAATGAATTACCACTTGGTAAGAAAGTTGCCATCTTAGCTAGGGAACTACTTCCAAATGCCATTCTCCCCCTAGTTGCAGTCGGTGTCATGATGAATGACGTAGGGATGTCTCATCATGGTTCAGGGTCTACATTTTATCACTGGGAGCATTTTGATGTGTGGTTACAGTATACATTCAGGTACATAATACATCCTCACACATCTATATTCTTACTGCTTTTTTATCCCGATCCAGATTAGATTCGAAACACGACTGATAGAGAACTTTCCCCTGACACTTCAGGGTTACTGGATGGTTATGATGTGGTGTCACTTAAGTAGAAGTTGTGTTTTTGTTTTCCAAAATGCTCTTAACCTGCACATCGTATAAGAGAAGTACTGCGATATAGAGATAGCATAGGATTTGCAAATGCTCGCAGCAAAGCTATTATTTTAAGTAAGACTTTCTGTCTTTTTTTAGGAATAGTTTCTATTCTAGCCAAGGGATAGCTGATAACAGCGGAGCCACAAGCTTTATGAAGCTGAACACAAGCGCCAGCAATGTCGATCTCTACAAAAAACTCTACCACAGGTATTCTATTTGCTGCTTTCTTTTTCTAAAAATGTGTTTTCCTGAAGTATAGGTGACGTACAATGTTGTGTTCATTTCCACCAAACAGCAAAGTGATTCAGTTATACAAATATATGCATTCTTTTTCACATTCTTTTCCATATGGTTTATCACAAGATATTGAATATAGTTCCCTATGGTAGACAGTAGGACATTGTTGTTTATATCCATCCCATATGTAATAGTTTGCATCTGCTAATCCCCAAATTCCAGTCCATCTGCTTTTCCCTCCCCTTGGCAACCACAAGCCTGTTTCTATGTCTGTGAGTCTGTCTGTTTCATTGGTAAATTCATTTGCTTCATATTTTAGATTCCACAAATAAGTGATACCATATGGCATTTGTTTTTCTCTGTCTGGCTTACTTTATTTAGTATGATCATTTCTAGGTCCATCCATGTTCCTGCAAAAGGAATTATTTCATTTTTTCTTATGGTTGAGTAGTATTCCATTGTATATGTGTACCTCATCTTTATACACTCATCGATAAGTGGATATTTAGGTTGCTTTCATGTCTTGACACTGTAAATAATGCTGCAGTGAACACTGGGGTGCATGTATCTTTTTGAATTATACTTTGTCTGGGTATATGCCCAGGAGTAGGATTGCAGGATAATATGGCACTTTTATTTTTAGTCTTTTGAGGAATCTCAAAATTAATCAAACTAATCACATGGACCACAGTCTTGTCTAACTCAATGAAACTATGAGGCATGCCATGTAGGGCCACCCAAGATGGACGGGTCACGGTAGAGAGGTCTGACAAAATGTGGGCCACTGGCGAAGGGGATGGCAAACCATTTCAGTATTCTTGCCTTGAGAACCCCATGAACAGTATGAAATGGCAAAAAGATAGGACACTGAAAGATGAACTCCTCAGGTTAGTAGGTGCCCAATATATATGCTACTGGAGAAGAGTGAAGAAATAACTCCAGAAAGAATGAAGAGACAGAGTCGAAGCAAAAACAATGCCCAGTTGAGGATGTGACTGGTGATGGAAGTAAAGTCTTAGGCTGTAAAGAACACTATTGCAATAGGAACCTGGAATGTTAGGTCCATGAATCATGGTAAATTGTAAGTGGTCAAACAGGAGAATGGCAAGAGTGAACATCGACATTTTAGGAATCAGTGAACTAAAATGGACTGGAATGGGCAAATTTAACTCAGATGACCACTACTGTGGGCAAGAATCCCTTAGAAGAAATGGAGTAGCCCTCAAAGTCAACAAGAGTCCAAAATGCAGTACCTGGATGCAATCTCAAAAAGGACAGAATGGTCTCTGTTCGTTTCCAAGGCAAACCATTCAATATCACAGTATTCCAAGTCTATGACTCAACCAGTAAAACTGAAGTTGAATGGTTCTACAAGTCCTTCTGGAACTAACACCCAAAAAAGATGTCCTTTTCATTATAGGGGACTGGGATGCAGAAGTAGGAAGTCAAGAGGTACCTGGAGTAACTGGCAAATTTGGCCTTGGAGAACAGAATGAAGCAGGGCAAAGGCTAATAGAGTTCTGCCAAGAGAACACACTGGTCATAGCAAATACCCTCTTCCAACAATACAAGAGATGATTCTACACATGGACATCACCAGATGGTCAGTACCGAAATCAGATTGATCATATTCTTTGCAGTCAAAGATGGAGAAACTCTACACAGTCAGCAAAAACAAGACTGGGAGCTGACTGTAGGTCAGATCATGAACTCCTTATTGCCAAATTCAGACTTAAATTGAAGAAAGTAGGGAAAACCACTAGACCATTCAGGTCTGACCCAAATCAAATCCTTTATGATTATACAGTGGAAGTGACAAACAGATTTAAGGGATTAGACCTGATAGACAGAGTGCCTAAAGAACTATGGACAGAGGTTCGTGAAATTGACATTGTACAGGAGGCAGTGATCAAGACCATCCCCAAGAAAAAGAAACCCAAAAAGGAAAAATTGTTGTCTGAAGAGGCCTCACAAATAGCTGAAAAAAGAAGAGAAGCTAAAGGGAAAGGAGAAAAGGAAAGATATACCCATGTGAATGCAGAGTTACAAAGAATAGCAAGGAGAGATAAGAAAGCCTTCCTCAGTGATCAATGCAAAGAAATATAGGAAAACAATAGAATGGGAGAGACTAGAGATATCTTCAAGAAACTTAGAGATACCAAGGGAA